AGTCCTGCTGCCCCCGGAGCTGCCCTGCAAGGCCAGCGTCCCCTTCGTGCCCGAGTTCGGTGAGTACTGGGGGGGCCCTCCAGTCTTCCCCTGTCCCAGATCTTCCCTTGGGATATCTGCGTATCCATCTATCAGCGTTCAACCTGTGGGTGCTGTGCCTTCCTCCCCTACCAGTTTGTCGCTCTGTCCTTGCTGGGATCCTTCTCTCCTCTGTCCCCTTCCTTGCCTGCTGGGGGTGTCGGGGTGCAAGATCTGGGCTGAGGGTTTCAGGGGGTGCAAGATCTGGGCTGAGGGTTTCAGGGGGTGCAAGATCTGGGCTGAGGGTTTCAGGGGGTGCAAGATCTGGGCTGGGGCTTTGGGTGCAGCCTCTCTTAGAGGAGAGCGAATGTGTCTGTGGGTGCTGGAAGCCCCTGTAAGCATTCATGGAGGAAAAGTGAACCTGACAAGGGGGTGAAATGTGGGCCCCCTTGCATGTCCTTGGTTCTGGGGTCCCAGCACCATGCCTTTGCATCCTCCAGCCCCCTCCCTGGGGGGTCCCCGGAGCTCAGCCAGCTGCAGGGAGCGATGCTGACCCCCATGGAGGGTGCAACCCTGGTTGGACTCTAATTCAGCTGGAATAGCTCTGCTGCAAAGAAGGGCTGAGCTCTGTGGGGCCCTGGGTGCCTGCTCAGGGCCAGCGGCCCTCCGAGAAGTGGCACTGGTTTAACTGAGAGCTGGGCTGTGTTTCAGAAGCTGGGAGAAGCCGTGGACAGGAGCTTATCTGTTTGTCATGGGGTTGCAGGGAGGAAAGCTGCTCCCACCCCGTGCCTGGCTGGGTTGGGGATGCAGAGTCTGCAGAGGGGGTCCCTGGTGCCAAGGCAAGCATCTACCTGCGCCCCTCAACCTCCTGCAGCCTGGGAGCATCTTTGCCTGCTACCAGTGCCCAAACAGCATCACCTGGGTTGCAATTTTGGGAGGAATCTGCTCCAGGTTCTCAATGGGATTTGGGAGTGAGTGTCTGCCAGGGTCAGGCTATCTGGGGCCACTTGTTCCCTGCGGGGTTACAGTCTTGGCCAGGAGTCCTGTTGCTGTGGGTGCTGGGTGAGGAGGAACCACCTCCTCGCTCCCATCCTCCTCTGGGATCTCGTTTCCGTGGGTGCACAAGCTCGTGAGCTGATAAGGAACAGAGGAGGAGGGAATCCACCTTGGAAAACAAGATGTGGGAGAAGCCCCTGGGACCCCTCAGCAGCAGGAGCTCTCCGTTAGAGACATGAGAGCCTGGACAAAGCCGTGGTGCTGGGGCTGGTGGCACCAAATCCCCCCAGGCAAAGCCAGGAGGGTCGTGACAGTGCTGAGAGGTGCCACTAGCGGGACTTTGCCCTTTCCCAGCTCTTCCCCAAACTCCTCGATAAAAGCCTTGTTGTCACAGGAATGGTGTGGTTTGTTTGCCAAGGGTAAAGCGAGGGGGAAGCCAGCCCAGCCATGCCGGCATCCTCTCCACAGGCTCTGGGGTGGCAGGGGGGGATGGGACCCCTTGCTCCACCCCAGCTGATTCCCAGCATCTTCTCTTTCCTTTGTCAGATGACTCGGACTACGAGGACTCAGCCTGGGAGGAGGAATTAGCCAGACCCGTGGGGGAGATGGCCAAGGTTGGTCCCACCATGGGGTGGGAGGTGGGCAGGAGCTAGTAACTGTCCCGAGGAGAGCTGCTGGCCTTGGGATGCTCCAGAGATACTGGTTAGGGCTGGAGGAGCACGTCGGCAGTGCCTGGAGAGGGGGTTGTGCCTTGCTGAGCACCCACCGGGTCTCCCAAGGGTCCCCGGGGAGCACCCACTGGGTTTCCTGGGGGTGCTGGAACCCCAGGGTCACAGAGATCCTTGGGAAGCACCCACCAGGTCTTTCAGTGCTGCTGAAATGCCAGGGTCCCCAGGGAGCACCCACCAGCTCTCCCGTGGGGGTTGGAACCCCAGAGTCACCAAGAAGCACCCACTGGGTCCTTCAGTGTCCCTCGGAGATACCCACCTGCCTTTCAGCGGTGCTGGAACCCGAGGGTTCCTGGGGAGCACCCACCGGTGTCCCCAGGAATCACGCACTGGGTCCCCCGGGCTCTCCGCAGAGCACCCGCAGCCGTGCAGCGCCCTGGCACACTCCCGTGCACAGGGTGCATGCTAGTGGACACCTCCGGCATTGCATCCTGAATTTAAGCCCTGGGTTGGGAGCTTCTGTCTGCCCCCCGCGCTCCCTGGGGCGGGAATGGGTGGATTTGAGGGATCCCAGCAGCTGCAGGTCCCCATGAGCGCCTGGAGCCCCCCACTTGCCTCTGCTTGGGAACGCTGTGGCCGAGGAGGGGGAGATGTCGGATTTCTTGATAAGCGCCGACATTTTTAGCTGCTATAAATAACCACCCCGGTGTTCA